TTCTTTATCTATTTTTGTTGATTTCATAACTATTTTTGAAAAAAACTTCTGAAGTCTTTGGCTTATATTCAGACAATACCAACAACCCATGTTTAACATGGTGGGAGAAAAAAGCATTGCAAAGCACTAAATGTTTTATAAACAAAAAAGAAATGGTCATTATTTGTAAATAAGAAAGTTAACTGAATTCAAACTGATCACCAGTGTCAAACCTGTTCTTATATCATACTATGTGACCATGGTTTGATTGTTGAAGAGAAAATTGTTTAAATGATTACACCATGGGTTTTAATGCCAAGGTTATCTCTTCAACCAGAACAAAATTCCCCCCACCCCCTTAATGTAAATCATAATTATCTTAAACATTTGAGCCGCGTCACGACAAAACCAACATAATGGGTTTGCGACCAGTATGGATCCAGACCAGCCTGCGCATCCGCGCAGTCTGATCAGGATCCATGCTGTTCGCATCCGCGCAGTCTGATCAGGATCCATGCTGTTCGCTTAAAAACCCTATAACAAGTAGAGAAACTGCGATAGCGAATAGCATGGATCCAGACCAGACTGCGCGGATGCGCAGGCTGGTCTGGATCCATGCTGGTCGCAAACCCATTATGTTTGTTTTGTCATGGCGCGGCTCATTTTCTTTTATCTCTACAATGTATATATTTATAATTTAGAAACCAATTTATGACAAATTACTCCATCTATCAACTCAATGCACAGGAATTTCAGAGTAAAAAAAAAATGCAGCTATTTCTTTTTCTCATTTTGTGCTAAAACTGTAACTTATAATAGAGATTCCATGAAATTATCTTTACTCTATCAAAATGCTATCTCTGCCAATTCTGACAAATTACACTCGCAAAATGATTACTTCAACATTCCTATATAATCCATTACAATGTACTTCCACAAAACATCAAAATAAACTCTGTAACTCTTTCACATAATCAAACTGTTAACTATTTCACTATTAAACTAAAACTCTTTCACTAATGACCAAGTTTTTTGATAATTAAAACTTTTTCGCAGAATTATCCAAACGATAATTACATTCGAAATTATCTTATCACTGTTTAATTTATATATAAACTGTTACCAATTTTAAATTAATCAACTGTAGAATGTAAGACATTCTTATCTTTCATATCCCAGAATGCACAATAATTCACATTGATAAATCAAGAAACATAACCAAAAACATACACCATACAGTTTGAACTGCAGATAAACTTCGCACCTCTTGAATTCCTCCTAAAAAAAATTCAGAATGCACTTATTCTGCACATCTTGCAACTTGAAGAAAAAAAGCAACAAAAATCCAACAAAAACTGCTCAAATAAAATCCAAGAAATCTGCAAAATCTTCTTCACAATGAAAAATAACACAAACTTTCACTCAAGCATGTGCATTATCCAAATAGCTGTGGAACAGAAATTTTCACCAAAGATTCTTGCGCAATTCATAGTAATACATGTAGAGAATTAACAGTACTAAAATCCCCTAGCAATAAATTGTTTAACATCTGGGAATTATTTACTTTATTATGTAATAATGTTTCATATTTTATGTTGGATTACACATTCATTATTTTATTATAACAGAGTAACGTATATAGAATAAATTGTCTGGTATATAACTTAATGACAAGGTTGAATCATGACTGTACAAGTAAAATATCCTCTCTTAAATATGTTGGCTTCTGAGTAACATAAGTTCAATAGTTTTTTCTAGTTATATTAAATTTTCCAAAGTATTGGTTTACCTACGATATTTCCTAAGGAAAAATGAAATTTTTTTTTAAAAACAAGTTATAGGAATTTAAGAAAAAACATTGTTCCTTCAAAATTACATAACGCAAACCACAGTCAACTCCCCCCCCCCCCCCCCCCCCCCCATGAAAAAAGAATTTAGAGTAATAAATAAAGAAATTACCAGCAACAATGGATCAACATACCAATTCTGCTTAAAATGTTCAATTATTCACAAAATCCTACCATTTAATAATTAAGTATAAGTGTAAGTTTGGATGAAATTCCTTCAAGTTGAGAAATGTAGAAAATGTGCAAGGAAAAAACTGTTTAAGCACAAAAGCCCTGGGTTGCCTCAGCCTAATTGCTGAAATTTCTCAATATATTGCCAATCCCTGTTGAAAACACAATATTTATTGTCACCGAATAATTTCAATTACCAGTAAATTATAAGACTTGGAAAAACACTGAATTAATTAGAATATTCTCACAGTAGTACAGTAATTATGAACAAGTGACTTAAGAATTCAACCGGAATATCCAAAATTTATAGACATACACTAATTTATTCCATATTCTGTGGCACCATCCAATTTTACACAATACACATATAGTGCAGATAAAAGCAAGGTGATGTAAGAAATATCTACAGACAGCTCCTTTAATCAATGTCACAGATGCTTTTTCCCTGCTAATTATTGACAAAAGCTTGTACAATAAACAGACACATACGGTACATCGCACAATCAATGTTGTGCAATTTTATTTGACCAATGTCTGAATCTTAATTAATTAACCTTTCTGGCACTATACATGTGCATTGGCCATCACAGAACATGGCAGGGATTGAAATTTTATTTGGAACTTTTTACAGGCAGTTTCTGAGTAGACTGTGAATCCACATAATTCATGGGTTCTTAAAATCAAAGGTTGTTTTTGTGAAAAAAATCTTACAGCAGACAAAAGAATGTCGTAAAATGTCTTAATTAGGAATTTTAAAGTAGCTATTACAAACTGCTACACACAAAATGACCTGTATTAATAATAGGCAGGTTTTTGCTGTTACATTATGAAGAACATACTGGCACTTGCTGCACTGGTGCAAAAAAATTTAAGTTCTTATAGCTTAAATACCCAGTTAGAATTAGTTCCAATAGCAATAACTCCTGTTAACAGCATCTTTAATTTCGCTAAACTATTCTAACTTGAAGAGAAAAACAGATATTAAAAGTGCAAACAAAATTAATAGTTCTAAAATGGATTAAAAATCTTTGGACAATGTCATATAAAGTATTAAACCTGGTACATTATACATTGTATTTTATATATTAATTTGATATACAATGAGTGAAATGTATATTTTAATCAGATACATTTACTTCTTCAAAGGATATTTTCTTTCACTTTCTCATTATTATGATATTTAACCCCATTATGATATTTCAAACGTTGATGACAAATTCTTTTAATCTTTATGGCTATTGCCTGCTATTGTTCTAAATCAAATAAGTTTATCAAGTCATTTAGATTAAAATTTCCTTATGTCAACAGATTCACGCTCATTTATGACACTTCAACACTTAATGTTACTTATACAATAGTTGTAATACGGAACTCGGCAAATGTGGGTTTTTCCATGCTAATCAGTACAAACTAACTTTTACAGTTGTAGCTTTATGGTGCAATACCGTTCACAATAGATAAGTTTACCTGTTGCAGTTTCTTTCGAGGCTGAATCAGTAAAAATTTGTTCTGGACCCCAGGATTAGCTGGGGAAAAACACAAAATATTCTTTATTCCGTAGTTAGTCTATTGAAACTCAACATCTGTCCAAGATTCAATCAATCCTTAGTTATACGAAGGGAGACTACTAGTACAAAAGAAAATCTTACCTTAATAGTAGCAGTTGTTTCCCTTCTTTAAAAATTACTAACGTGTTACTTGGTAACGATTTTATAAAAAATTGTACAACATTACTGTAGACCGTAGCATTAAGATTCGTTTCTTTGAAGATTGCAAAGACATTAAATTCATGATTTGCTTATATACTTAAAATGCTCTTTCACTAATAATTTCAGAACCTAAAATCTGATAAAAAATTTGGAATAATACTTACTGTATAGAAACAGGTACATGTAAAGAACATCAATTGGTTTACCACATGACAACTTCATAAGAACCATACATGGGATAAATGCATTTATATGTTTCTTCTAACATCAAATCTCCATTTTAAATATTAATCTATGATATTTAAATGATTCAATGTTGTTTGTTACTGTTTCACTATTAAAAAAGAATTGAAGACTATGAAGTTAAAACAACTTAACATAAACCTAATTATTGACTTGATCTTTTGCAATTTGTCTCTATATGTTTATTATTTTGATGACTAGGGGGCTGGGATTTATAAGAAATTAGTTGATTTAGTCACAGCTTCGTCTAACTTTGTCAGTTTTATATTGACACTTATCTCTTGCTTGAAATATGAAATTTGCATCACTAGTAGAGGGCTTTTATACCCTTTTATAAGTAAGTTAAGTGTATAATTTTAATCTTTATGACTGGTTATCAATAATGTAGGTAATATTGAAAAAAAAGTTACTATCAAAAATATACCACACATAATGTATAATGCAACTTTCATTGAAATTCAAAACTTACAGGGCATCCTTTCATAGTTATTCTCTTACTGTGTGAAGACAAAAATCATATTCATTTGATTCACCAAAAGGATTTATACTTATTATTATTATATCATAAAATATGTTTTTCATAATAATACAATATGTTTTCATAAAATGAATTCAAAGACACAATATATTATTTATAAGGGGAGCTTCATGGTTATAGTGTCTTGACTCTTTACCAAGGGATTGTTGGGTCTGAGTTCTACTCAAGGTCAAGATCATCAACATTTCCCTTCATATGACACTGTCTAGTACTGGTAAGCTCCATAAAACAAGACTCTAGAGAGGTTAAAATCAACTGCAATCTTTCCTCAAAATCAAGCATTAATAATTTATAAATGTTAAATAAGAAACAAATATTTACCCAGCTCTTTCCAAAGCAGCAGGTTGTGGCTCAGAGTCACTGGTTTCCTCCGGTTCATCTAGCGACAGGAAATGGGCTTTGTTTCTCATCTGAATATCTAAGCCGGGAACCGGTGGTATTGAAGACAAGGCCTCTGATTGGTTGATTTTTGTCACCATCTCCTCCTCCATTATCTCTTCAGCCAATCCCTTTTCAGGGACTGATGGAGGTGGTTTTGAGGGCGGAGCCGGTGAAGGAGGCGGGGAATGTGAATTTGCTGGCGGAGGGGGCGGAGGCTCGTTTGGGGAGGCGGAGCTGTTCGACGAGGAACTGGAATGGGTCTAGCAAAGAGGTCACTCCTGAGACTGCTGTAATGGAATGTTCTGAAGAGTCTATGGGTTCTATATTGCCATCCTTACCTAATAATTTCGAGCCACTGTCCCTACTCTCAGTTTGTAAATTCAAATTTGTTTCACTAACTATATTACCACTTGTATCTGGTTGAGAATTTACATGTTTTGAACGAGGGCTCGGGGGTTTCTGCTGTACTGGTGGGGCCGATCGCCTATTCATTAGCACTGAACTCCCAGAAATGGCAGCGAAAGGGTCATTTGTTTTGTTTGGTTCTGGGGGTTTTGATAAATTTTCCATGGAAGATTTTCTATAACCACTAACACTAGTATCTGATATACTGCCTAACTTAGAAATATCACCCACTTTGTCATCTAGATAGTCAGATGTCCGTGAATATCTTTGCTTTCGGTAAAGAGCCCAACTTTTTAAATCCGAGTCTTTTTGCTCCTCAGTATGTACCTTGCTATCTGATTGGCTCATATTTTGTGTTGGCACAACCTCCTTAATACCTGATGAATTGGACGTTATATCCGATACTATCATTTGTTCACCAGACAAACGTTTATCCTTCGATTCACTTTCTTCAGAGGATGTACTCGTTGACCTTAGATATGTATCGGCTCTGTCTATAGCTGCCTGAATCTCTTCTTTACTTAGACGTTTCCCAGGGTGTGTAACACTACGCTCTTGTCTTGGACGTTTAGTAACAACACCATCAACATTCGTATCACTTTCATTGACCTCTTCTTGCACCCTAGATTCATGTGACCTTGACCTTCCAGTGTCATTTGATGACCTTGAATTTAAAACCTCGGTCGAGGCAGAACGACCTTGACTAAATCTAGAATTGTCACTTGGAAAATAGGGTTTTCTGGAATGATATGCGGAGGTGATGGACAAATCTTCCGATAACGAACCATTTGAATTGCTAAAAACCGAGTTATCTAGAGTATCATTTGAGTCTGATTTTCCATCTACTTGCGATGAACTTGAAGACAGTTGTGTCCTATTTTTAGAATCATGGTACTTGTCAGTATTACTTATATCTGTTAAAATGTCATTTTGACGCCGTTTCCATAGAAGCCCAGCTGGAGTGTTACTAACAGCCTTTGCTAAGTTAGGCTCTGAATAAGCTGGCCTTGGAACATCAGGCTTCCGGCTTGGTACGGGAGGTCTCACTTCAGCCCTAGACCGTCTTGTACTCGGGCCGATCCCCATATCGTCTGAATCTGTAGATAATCTCATCTTTTTTTGTACATCATGTTCATCGGACGAGGATGCACTTCCTGGCCGTGTAGGGCTACTTATACCTCTGGTTGGCGAGACAACTGGCGACCTTACACCTTGCGAAGGTGAAGGCTTACGAAGATGGGAAGATTTCTCAATTTCTTGTTGCTTTTTTGTTTCCTCTTCCATGCGAGCAAACAAAGCTCGTGTGTAATTAAATCTCTGAACATGACTGCTCGGTGGGATTTTTACCTGAAATGTATGTTTATATAGTATAGTTCTACATATATAAAATAATACTGTCACACTTCTTTTCAATTAGTTATAAATCCTAATGATTAACCTGCTACTCATCATAATCTTCATATAAATATAACAATGTATATTTGTGTCTTGTTTCAAAATCTTTAAAGATTAATCAATATAAAATTTGTAAAAAAAATTTATGTTACTTTCCATAAAATACTTTCAGTCATCATTTGCCATGTAAAAACAACATTATATTTCACCTCTTTTCATAAAATACTTTCAGTCATCATTGCCATGTAAAAACAACATTATATTTCAGCTCTTTTTGGTAAACAAATCTTTTTTCAAATATACTTTTTCCGACTTTATCATGTAAATTAAAACTCCAAAGTTAACTTTAATATAGTAATGACCTCAAGGTCAAACATTGACCTTGAAGTTAAAGACATAGATCTTGAGCATGACACTATGTCTGACTGAGATAAACCCATGTTCCAAATTACTGGCAATCCATTAAGCAATGACAAGAGTTATAAGGCAAACAGGATTTGACCTTTGACCTTCAGTGATTTTTTTCTATCCTTTGGGAATGGTGCCGGTACCAGACTTATTGGGAAAAAGATGCGTTATTTTGACTTAAATTGGGAATTTTTTTATGCATTTTTCAGCTACAAAAAAAATTAGTCATCATTAATAAAGACAGCTGACAGCTTCCACAGTCCAGATAGAACTATTGAGTGGTGATTTATATGAAAATGTTGGATGAAGAAGCACTTGGCCTTGTGGGAATATTGAACAGCCATTTTGGGAATTTAAACATTGGAAATTGGGAATTTTAATGTCTATTTTCTATTGGGAACATTACCGTTTTAGGGTAGTAGTTATATAAAAAAAAAAACACTGACCTTCAACAATTACCTTGACCTGGAGATTTGGACATGGGCCTTGCATGTGGCACTTTGTCTGACAGTGTTAAAGACAAATGCCACATATTCTGACAATCCATCAAGTATTGATAAAGCTGTAAGCTAGACAGGATTAGACCTTTGATCTCCAAGAAGGATCTTGACTTTGAAGGTGCGGATATAATTATGTCTTGCACACAACATATTTTCTACTTAGAGTAATCAGGTGTACTACTTTATATGTTCAAGATGCACATAACCTTAATGACAAAAAGTTCAATACCTTGCTAAGACCTTGAACTTCGAGCTAGAGACATTGGTCTTTGGAAGATACATTGTTCTGTGTTGGTGATATATTGTGTCATATTTGAGTGTTTTTTTTTGACAACCATGCAGCAGTAGCAAGTAGTTGGGATGTTTGGATTACATAAACTAAATTGAGTTTGAGCCCTGCTAGGCCGACATAATTATTATATGACACCAATATCACTAATTTATGGCCGCCAACAAAAATTTGCATCACAAAAAGTAAGCTTTAACTTTATTTCCACAAAGAACAAGAGCTGTCGGTAGGACTGCAACACTTGACTATTCTTAGTGCTTGATAGTAAGAAAGCCTTGATTATGTAAAATTTCGTAAGTTAACAAAAGGGAAATTTTTTTTCTTTAAATCCATGTTACAGTTATAAGCCTTGGAGAGAGTCCTATTATGCTCTCAAAGGGTATAAAATTTCATCTTGTTTCAAAGCCATATGTCAATGGACTTTTTTTTGAGGTATTACAAAAACTTTAACGAAAATTCTAAGCCGAAAAAGGGGCATTATTCTTTCAAAATGCATGAAAGAGTTACCTCCTCCTGTCTACAGGTTTGGGTCATGATGGTGAACAAAAGTGCAAAGTTTCAAAGCCATATGTCAATGGACTTTGAAAATATTTGAGGTATTACAAAAACTTTAACGTAAATTCTAAGTCGAAAAAGGGGCATAATTCTGTCAAAATGCTTGATACAGTTACCTCCCCCTGTCTACAGGTTGGGGTCATGATGGTGAACAAGTGTGCAAAGTTTCAAAGCCATATGTCAATGGACTTTGAAAATATTTGAGGTATTACAAAAACTTTAACGTAAATTCTAAGTCGAAAAAGGGGCATAATTCTGTCAAAATGCTTGATACAGTTACCTCCCCCTGTCTACAGGTTGGGGTCATGATGGTGAACAAGTGTGCAAAGTTTCAAAGCCATATGTCAATGGACTTTGAAAATATTTGAGGTATTACAAAAACTTTAACATAAGTGGTTACGCCGACGCGGACGCCAATGCCAACACTGACGCCGACGCTCGGGTGACTACAATAGCTCTACTTATTCTTATCGAATAGTCGAGCTAAAAATAACACAGTAAATCATGTCTGAAGTAAGGTATACTTACTGAGCTTGAAGAAGTTGGCGAGCTTGGTTCTTTAGGTTTGTGAAGAGCCGACGTACTGGCAGACTGACCTCTGGTACGACCAACTGTATTTGATATCGAAGGTGGTGGCGTTCTCGCTACATGATGTTGGTACGATTTAATTGGTTGAAATTTATGTTGTGAATGTAAATGGTCGTCTGCATTGCCATTGGCAGCTTGAAATTTCTCTCGCATTTGACTAACTTTTGAACTGACCAGCTTACTACTTCTTGGTAAAGAGTCTGCCTTGTAAACTGGCGGGAAATCTGGTGGTTCTTCGTCCGGAGGGGGTGGAGGCGGAGATGTGGGCGGTGCTTCTAAACTGTCATCAACACTCCCACTTCTTGTACGGCTTGCTATCAACACATGTGACCTTGGATTTCTTACGGCCATTGCGAATTAGATTTTCTTTCTCTAAAAGATTGGTGTTTTAAATCTTGTTTTTGATTTCAGCATACATTTTTCTGTATGTCAATGTAATAACTATCTTGTATTTTAATCCACAGCAATTTTTTTTTCACAACCTTACTAAAAACTCTTTTCCCCTTGATGTTTAATGCCTGGTGTAAAGGGCAGCCTGTGTAAGTTTTACTATAAAATTGTCTTGCAGTATCAAGTATAAGTCTCACACAAGGTCAAAAGGTCGTGTTACAAGGGAGGTAATTCAGGTAAGAAAATGTCTCTTAGGACAAATAGTCCTGTGTCTCATACAGGTGATCCCCCTTTACATCTTGTACTTGTTGCCACAAAGTTTCATCTTCAAATGTGTTAATGTACCTGCAAATACACAGAAAAACTTTTTCAACCCTACAATTTGAAAATCAAAAAATAATTATACATAAAAACACTAATAATCATGATAATATCTTTCAAATTGAAAACGTTATCAGGGAATAATGTACTTCAGTGGATTTCAACATAAGATATTAAATTGATAACAAGAGGGTGTGTAACTATGCAGATAAGTGCTATCTTAATCATATAGATAGTTTTTACACTAAATGCTCGAACAATAAGATTTCAAATAATAAAGATTTTGAGTATTATACTGGTAACTTATTGATAACTGGATGTGTGATTTCAACAACTTCAGTTAAAACATAGCCTTTAATTTTGAGGAAAATTTTAGGCAAACTGGTAAAGTAGCAATTTTTAACCATCAAGTTTTCTGCCAAAATGTCAGTGACCTTGACACCTCAACAAAGAATACATGTATTATGGGCATAGATGCTACCAAAACATCTGAAGTATCTAAGGTGTTTTATTTCACTGGGTTTTATGTCACCAGGCACCAAGACAGTATAGGTCATACAACAAGACTTTTAAGCTTTACTGGTGTGAGAAGACATCAGGTGCCCTTCTGTGCATTATTTCAGGCACAAATGGGCACCAACAGACACTCTGTACCCTAGCTGATAGAAATATCAAAGGTGTCAGTCAAGCATTATGAGTGTTTTATCAAAATCAGTCAGAAAATGTGACAGAAAGACAAAGTGTAGCAGCTAATGTCCTACTACCATACAAAAAAGATTTTAGGGAGCATAAATTTAGTATGTTGCCTATAATTATATTTAATACAGAATTGAGAATGTCCTCAAAAACAAACAGTGCATTAATAAAATAACACCTACTGTATTACGCATATTAAAAATTCATTTATTCCAGCAATTTACACTGTGTCTCGAAAGTTCAAAATTTTCTTAGCTCACATCACAAGAAAAGCTGTTCAAAGACCAAGATCATAAATTTATTGTACATTTCGGTGAACATTTTATAACTTGCAAAGAGGTTTCCTTGTTATTTTTTTTCTGAATCCAACATTGAACAATTACTCTGGCAAAGCAATTTACCCGGTGAATAAAACTGCAGGCTAAGCCAGATGAATTTTTATTACTATACAAAATACTGAGCCTTTCTTCCTATCAATTTATTATACAAAACCTGTTGAAAGCATCAGAGTGAGGTTGCGCCTGTGTGGAAAAACCAGGTAAGTATAGTGATATATTCCAAGTGCACACAGACAATTATAAAAAAAAACCAAACAAAGTTTACTGACATACTATAGTAATGTAATGATGTTCTAGTTACAATATATTCTTTTGTAACAAGGTGTTAAAAAACTTGTTGTGGAGCCATGAATTCTGTTACTTTATAAGTATAACAAACCTCTTGTTCTGCTAATTAAACGCAACATGTGTGTCATACATTAATACTATCCAAAGTGAGGCACATGTACATGTAATTGTGCTTTATATTTTATGAAAAAAAGTGAATACAACACAGTATTAAAATCACTAGTAAAATAAATACAATTGCAGAGATATCATTAATTATTTATACTAAAGACTTTGTCATGCTTTAACATTTGTCATGCTCCTAATTTGCTTAGTTTTACAACTTCTTAAATTTCTCAAAATGCAGCACAATTTTCCCAATTTGGGACAAAGACCTTTTCCAAAGGAGCTAGAAAAATCCCCTAAATAACTCATATATATGTACATGCTTTACTGTGTTGTTGTTTTTATCATATTTTATTAGATAGGTTTAACCATGCTCATAATTACATGTAAACTATACAGAAATAAACTAGAACTGCCACTATCATGGCGTGAATACCCCCGCATACCATTTTGTCAGAATCAACAGTGGCCATTTAGAGCTCAAGGACAACCTCCCTTTACTAAGCCAGTGCATTGCTATGTATTTTACATGCTTCAAATATGAAAATGCCAAAATCAATACACTGCAGACAGGCATTCTTTAGCATTTGAGCAGGCAAGCTTATCATATTAAAAATCCATGTGACCTTGACCTTTGACACAGTCATCTAAAAATCAAGCTGGGTCATCTTCTAGTTATAAACAACCTAGATACCAAATATGAAGACTGTTGACCAAAGCATTCTTAAGCAATAGAGCAGAAAAGCTTTTTTAGTCAAGGCCCCTGTGACCTTGACCTTTGACCCATTGACCTCAAAATCAATAGAGGTCACCTAATGGTCAACCGCCATGCTAAATATGAAGACTCTGGGTCAAAGGAATCTTAAGTTATTAGGCGGACAAGCTTTTCTTAGTCAAAGCCCCTGTGACTTTGACCTTTGACCCAGTGACCTCAAAATAAATAGGGGTCATCTTCTAAACATGACTAGCCTCTATGCCAAATATGAAGACTCTGGGTCAAAGCAATCTTAAGTTATTGGGCGGACAAACTTTTCTCATTCAAGGCCCCTGGGACCTTGACTTTTGACCTGGTGACCTCAAAATCAATAGGGGTCATCTACTTATCATGACTAACCTCCATGCCAAATATAAAGACTGTGGCTCAAAGGAATCTCAAGTTATTGGATGGACAAGCTTTTTTCATTCAAGGCCCCTGTGACCTTGACCTCTGACCTTAAAATCAATAGGGGTCATATACTTATCATGACTTGCCTCCATGCCAAATATAAAGACTGTTGGTCAAAGATATCTTAAGTTATTGGGCGGACAAGCTTTTCTAAGTCAAGGCCCGATACCTTGACCTTTGACCTGGTGAACTCAAAATCAATAGGGGTCATCTACTAATCATGACTAGCCTCCATGCCAAACATTAAGACTGTGGCTCAAAGGAATCTTTGGTGGACAAGCTTTTTTCATTCAAGGCCCCTGTGACCTTAACCTTTGACCTGGTGACCTAAAAATCAATAGGGGTTATCTGCTAATCATGACTAAACTCCATGCCAAATATGAAGACTGTGGGTCAAAGGAATATTAAGTTATTGGGTGGACAAGAAATAACCAAAAAATTTTACTACAAAGAACTGATTTCTCCTAAACCAGTACAGAAATGTTAACTTATACAATGTAATTGCATTGTTTCTTTAAATACGTTTTTAAAAATAAGTACATATTTTTTTATTTTTTGTGTGTGTGTAATAAATACTATAGTCCAAACAAGCATTAAAGTATGCAAATTATTTGAAAAATGCACAATGCATGCAATCCTATAATCATTTTATTCATGTTCTTTTTATCATTACAGCTCTGTCCAGGAAGTAGCTAAATTAAACAACAGCTAAAATATGTAAACTATTTATACCTGTCAATCGTTATCAAATTCTTCAATTATAATATCTAAATACTTTCAGTATCTGAGTTTAGTATGGGTCATATATCTTTTCCATACACGTCATAAACATGTACATATATATGTATATATGAAAAGTGGTGAAAGGACATTAACAACATTTCTAAATTAAAATATATTATAGAAGTCATGGTTTTTCCTTATGCAGGTTTTCTGTATAAATACAAACAATTAAAGCAGCACACCTCCAGATTCATGCTTATTACAATGTACATGTAAATTTTGAAAATGTATTAAAAAGAAAGATACTGTGAAGTCATTGCAATCGGCACTTACAAACCATATAAATTACCAAAATGAGGTCAAAATATGCAAAAACAGTTCAAAACCCCTGAAAATTATGGGGAACGTGACAGACAGTCCCTGTCTGAAATTCCAAAGGAAAACCCTGATATAAAATATATGCATAAAGTTTCATTTTTTAAAGCTAGATGTATTACAGATAATAAAACCGAAAAAAACAAAGTCTGACTCTCTCCTATTACAGACTTAAATTTTCTAATCACGCGCCTATAAGGACATCACACCATAAAGGCGAGACTTAAATACTGCAATAATATAATACCTGTCTTTCATCATTCAAACAGGCTTGATGCAGTTTTTGGTGAAAATATAACAATATACCCTCTGGCTATTGGTTCGTAATCTGTTTCTCGCATAATCAGCTACTTGACCCCCGTAACTGTGCGCAGGAGTGTGAAAAATCATACAATACCCTCATTATATCCGACTGCTATGCCTCGTAAACCTTAACTTGCAAAACTATCGTTATTTCATTCATAGATTTTTTATATGTTTTTCACATTACCCAAGCAAAATTTAAAATATATAAACCCGGAAATTTATGCATTTTCCGTTTATGGTACACTGGTTTTTTACATGTAATATATATATATAGGCTGTATACAACGAGTTTAAAACAAGTTTTCAATAATATCCATGTGGTTTAAAAAATAAACTTTAGTGTAAAATAGATGACTACATCAGATTTTATCATATAGGGTAAAATTATGCACGTGTCAATATTTTTAAACAATACAGAAAAGGGATTGTAATGTATTATATTATGTAACAAGCAGTTCTAGTAATTTTAAAACAAACAAAAAATCACAATAGATACAATTTAATATTGTAGGCGTAATTATGTGTACAGTTCAGTCACAACTTTACGGCAGTTTAAAACAAGCCTTACCAGCCCATACAAATTGTGATGTTTTATCATTCAGTGGACTTATTCATTAACCTGCGCTTAAATTTTTGTCATCAACAAACTGTTATAAAGAACTGGCGCTTTAATTTGCTTAAAAGTTACATTTGTATATACTGATAATACAAGGTTTTCAAACTAAACAAAACCCTCAATTTCAGCAGTCAATATAGCAGCACGGTAATAATAATTCATGACTATAATATAATTATTATATGTTTAACTTTATGTTTTAAACATAGATTAATTGTGATGACTGCTTTATTTGAACCAATCTTAAGTTGTCTCTCTGGAACTAAATCAGCACTGGCATCTGGAACTAAATCAGTACTGGCATCTGAAACTAAATCAGTACTGACATCTGGAACTAAATCAGTACTAGCATCTGGAACTAAATCTGTACTGTCATCTGGAACTAAACAAGTACTAACATCTGGAACTAAACCAGTACTGGCATCTGGAACTAAACCAGTACTGGCATCTGGAACTAAACCAGTACTGGCATCTGAAACTATACTAAGTACTGGCATCTGGAACTAAACCAGTACTGTCATCTAGAACTAAACCAGTACTGGGATCTGGAAATTAATCAGCACTGGCATCTGGACTTAAACCAGTACTGGCATCTGAAACTATACTTAGTACTGGCATCTAAAACTAAACCAGTACTGGCATCTGGAACTTAATCAGTACTGGCATCTTGAACTAAATCAGTACTGGCATCATATGAGAAGACATAAAACCACTATCCCTGGAGCGCCATTACTAGGAGGTGGGAGGCAGACACCTTTGTAAAGGACTGGAAAAACAAATCCCCCTATATACCCAGTGGTTTCCAGTTGTTTCCAGTGGCTCTCATAAAATCTTATATAAACTAAATGATTTCAAAACATTACATGACATTATATTCTTTCCTTAAATTGTTTTAGGTCAGTTTAGTTTAATATCTTCCTTATATCATATTGTTAGGACAGACTTTCATTTTTTTTCTAAATCTTAGGAAGTAAATTCAAACTTCAGGCAACTAATTTTAATACATGTACATGTAGTTTGATTCTGAAAGCCCTTGGTATACTTAAAGAACATTCATATTCAAAAGCAAAGACCCTCTACATTACATGGAAAATCCAGCATCGATTGGGTTTAAAAAGTCAATGTCCAATTCAGTAGAAGAATTTTGTTCTTAAACCCTTCATGCCAGAACCAAAAGGCTACAATGTTTGTTTTTTGCCATCACCAGTTAGTATAGAGCCGCGCCATCCTATACACAATGTCACCTATGCTGTCTGACATACAGACAAGCTGAGACTATAATTATACTGTTGCTATCTGAATTTTCTATTCTGACTGAAATCCCTTTAAATTTTGAATGAACTGTTCCAAATCCAAAACTGGGCAATACCATAACAAAAATTCAGCAGGTAATAATTTTGTTCATATACAAAATTCATGTCATTAAATCCCCCACCCCATTCCCCTCCCCCCGTCCTACACAAAATGCATAAGCAACTTATTCTCATAATAGCCATAATTACAAATATAAGCTTTTTGTATATATAACAGAATTATATTAAATTACCTACATGTATAAGGTATCAAATATCCAGTATAAATTTCCCATATTGAACTACATTGTACAGTATATTGAACGTTTTAACATCCGTAAAATCGCTGGATCGGCACTAAATTTTTGAAGATCAGTATTTCAATCTTCTCTTATCAAAATACAAACATAATACAACATATATCTATACCCGATTCCTCCTTTCTTCCTCAATAGTTTGCTCATAAATTTTCAGTATTCCCCTCAATAAAGGTAAAATTTACTGTCATATCTTTTTGATAAAATCTTGCGACCTTGATCAAATAGTCTAGTCGACAAAAACACTATCCATATTTGATTGAAAACGGGTGTGTGTTAAATCTACAGGTGTATTAAATAGCTTACATACTAAGTGCACTGACACCGTTTTCTTTATTTGTTTGTTTGCTTTCGGTAGATTTAATACGATTTTACGCCAAAACTTCACCGACATATCTGTGTGATCAAATTTACTATGTATTATAAGGACTGGATAATTTATATGACAGATAGATTAGTTAATCACAAATTATCTTCCTGCTTTCATATCTGTCATTTACATGTCTAACACAGTCCCCGAGGGTTGATTCATGCAATACTGTATTAAACCCAAGTATGCTTTTATTTTAATTTTTCAGAAGCTTTTTTTTCTGGTATCCCATTATATATTATACATTTACTCACTGGCCAATTACCCGAATCTTCTTTTGCTTCTGTTACAATTTGCCAATTAGTACAATTATGGTGATTTAGTATTTTGTATGGAAGTCAAAATACTACATTGTTTACATTTTGCTAATTTTATGTCAAGTAATTTCACATTCGGCACTAATTTCTGCAAGTGTTATTTAGTAGGGTATCTAACATGCCCTTCAACACTTATTTTACAGTAACACAACTCATGTTGCCCTTTTTGAGGAATGAAAATTTTATTCGTTTCAGAGGCATTATGTGCCTTTTACACAAATATAAACAAATCATTCAGGCACTATCTCATGAGTAACATTTTTCTTTGCGGCTGCACTGCTTATTCAAGCCTTAATGGAAAAAAATAAAACCCCAGTTAGCATAACCATATGAAATTTTGGTCAGCACACTCAATGTAATATAACACCACAAAATCTAGATTAATGAATGACAGGGTGGGATAGGCTTTACACTGTGATATATATCAGGTTTCCAGCATGATTGACACATCTTAGTTACACCGCATGCAATGTTACATGTTCACCAGGTAATACCTGTTACATGTAATTTCATTGATACAGATGGATATTAAAAGACGCACCTTGACAAATTAAGCACAGCATTTTTGCTATTGCTCAAATCTCAGAATGTGGTATCATATAAATATTAATATTAATGCTGTAGAAGTTTCATTTTACATTAATTTTGTACTTTACAGAACTTTCAAGACGACTTCTGAGAAATAATCTACATTATGTAACCTACATTGTACAGCCCCATCACCCCATCCCCCTTCTTCAGACTGGAAAAAGCAGCCCTGGACTTTAACCTTTTACTTAATTTAGGTAGACTTACTCGATATATATTGGAATCAACTTAGTAACTCCCAGCATTAAATTAATATTTTGTTTACATGTTTAGTTTCTTAACGTAAGTTAGACCGAAATACCGTGTTTGAATAAAAGACCAAGCACTGCAATTTGAGCATATCCCATGCCATTATTGTGCCAGAGAAAACCATCAAGGTGAACAGGGACCCAGCTTTGTGGGAACAGGTGTTCTTTAAAACATGCCTTATTTTGCCTTGCCCCTCCCGGGATGTTACAGATGAAGGAGGGAGACGGGGAAGGGGATGTACTGTAACAGTTGACTGATGAATCACTGAATTTCACGGGCAGTGATTGGTCTTCAATTGGAGAGAAAACACTACTATAGGTAACTTAATTAATTGTGGAAGGTACACATCAAGATAACACTACATCTTTGTTATATAACTGAAGGAAAGAACACAAATATTTTAACATCACAGGTGTAAATGATATTAAATGCATCAATCATTTCAATCACAATTAAGGGAGAAGAGCCAATTTTGAATTAAATGCTGTTAGATTTTTACACTATGTGACCTTTCTTCAGTTGTAGATTACATATAGGTTGAACCAGCTGAAAACCAAGTGATAAACGTTTGTCACCAGTATAGACCCTGACTGGCCTGCACTTCCGTGTAGTCTATACAGCTGGCTGACCAACTTTATCTTAATTCCGACAAAATTGGTATTACACAGTTTCAAATTGGAAGTTGGTTTATACAGAATATAAGTAGCTTATAGGCACACACTCAAATCAGTTTTTGGAGCCTGAACCGGTACTGAGCAATGAGTGTAATGTGTCGTGCTCAAGGAAACAACGGCTTGCCCATCACAGGGTTTGAACCCAAGCACATACTAGGGATCCTTAGATAACGTGTTCAACAGGTTGACCACTCTGAGCCATAACATTACATAAAATGAATGTTTAGACAAGTGCTGCTGCATTTAATATTAAAGTTAAGGGAAAAATTGCACCCATTATAATATAATGGTCATTTAGTGTATTATTAACTGAGCATGTGCTTTATTATACCAGAAGTTCACATACCCACTTTAATACATCTAGAAACACTATAACTTCAGTCCCAGATTTTTGTGCTATTAATAAAAATACACACTATAACCAAGCAAATGCATTAATATGTACAATACCATTAACCTATTTCAAAGCTAGAGAGATGAGCAATGCTTGCTATCATTATAAAGTGGGGGTAACTTGTATTTAGTGCAGTCTACAGAGACTATAATATTAGATATTATGACTTTATCAATCATCTATATGTACATTTACATCAGCCAATTCAATCGTTATTTTATAGCAGATGATTGAGGTAAATAAATGCTTCTCAGTAGCAACACACTTCTTCAAGGATTTTGTTTGGCTTATTCTATAGTCGATGATCCCAACTGAAAATAGTATATTATTTTCCCAATCCACTGGAAAAAATTCCCAATTGAAAGTTTCAAAATAAAAATACTGAACACTAAAATCTATGAAAATAAGGGCTTATTCACTGTTATGGTGCTTACTGTTTAAAGATGCCATCCTAGACAATGATTCTTTGCATTCATTTAATCAGTGCAAAATTTAAGTAATGCATTTTTCCCTAATTTTTACATCATAACATGTAACAAAACATAGTTGAAATTCCAAATTCCATGGGTATGGGTCATGTTCTTAAACAGTACCATTTTTCAAAATGAATTTTTACATCAATAAGATAATATACATGTATCACTTCCACAATACGTACTTAAAAACCCTCCAAAAGCACACAATAAAACAGTATTAAATACGCTTCCTGGATTCACATTTGTAGCAACAATTACATGAACCCAATGCTGCATTCTCAAAATTAAGTGACACAATATTTTTCCCATTATTTGTTCAGACTTGCCACACCACTGCCACAAAGGGATTTCTAAATTGGCCCAGAATGACACTGCTTTCACTGGGGGAATGTAACATGAGCTTGTGATTTTATTGATCTGTTTTCTCAAAAACTTTCTCCCAGAAAAACAAAAATAACCAGTCAAATGATTTAACACTTTTGATATTCTCCCCCATCTATTTGATTATAGCAGTATTCCTTAGAAAGAAGCAACATAATGACTCACCAAATTTCTTGCGGCCATAATTTAAAGACTTATTTAACATTTAATATAGCCCTGATTATGCTCATTGCCTACAGATGCAATTGTTTTTTTAGACAATGAAAACAAACCGTTTTCCATAAATCATTCTGTTTAGATTAATATGATAAAATAACAGATTTAAATTTATTTTAGAATGATTGGGATTATTCTATGCAGTAACTCTTAATAAAGCTCCCTTCTGTAGTATACAAGAACAACATCGAATAATGACTATGTTTAGCGTAAATAAGTAAATAATTCTACACCAAAACTTTTTATACAGCTCCCTTCTATATAGTACACAAGAAAAACTGCTGAGGTGACTGCGAAATTTTTTTTTTAAAGTGTACTTTTATCACCTCATTAACCTATGACCATTACAGAAACATTGATAAAATATTTGACTTTCCTATCATCACTCATAATTATATCAGACAGGTGACTGGTGATAATGACTCCAGACATATAGCTGTAGGCTTTGCTAGATAATCATTTACATGCTTATCTCCCCTTATGATATATACAGACAGTTTTTGCGCTATTTCTCCTTACGGCCAGCAATTAGGACAAAACTGCTTAATCAGCATTTTTATTAATAACTATGCAGAAATTAGTGCAATTTCCATTCTTAATTGATACAAATGAATGACAGTACATTTGGTCAAACCTGCATGACATTATAAACAGTGAAACTGTAGTCATCATAATTATAAGACTGTTATTAACTTATTACATTTAAAAGGCTTTTAAGATGATGGTTTCTTAAGTTCTGTTTGTTTCCATTTTTTTTCTCCTTGAATTGGGAATTTTCTCCTTGGAATTGGAAATAAACAATACTTCTTGGCAAAAGGAACATGGCCCAATATTAGTCATCAAAATGGGGCAAAATGACATCATTTAAAACAGGTTGTATCTAGTTAAAGGTATTAACCACAACGACATGGTCATCCTTGAATCAATACCGAAAGTGCCAGCATTAACATTAGTGCACGTGTTGTCAATATTTGTTAATTACAGCAATAAATTTCATTTTGCACAGAGTATTATAGAAATTTATATATTTCATTTTAAATAAATTTTCCTGTGTGTCAAAAAATTATGATACATGTTTTATTACTGATAAATCTTTGCAAAGTTAATGGTTAATGCATACTGTTCCAGCTAAATTTCCAATCAATATTGAAACAGAAAGTAATGTCAAGATAAACCACTGAATTAACACAGTACATATGTATTATCATTGCAATGTATTTTTTTTTTCACAAATCGTTGAATTATATTTTAATCACTTCAATTAATGAAGTTTATTGGACCAAAATTAATGTAAACTTCAAGGTAAATTGATCTGTACCAGTGTTTTTTTCACCAAAATATTCGGCGAAATTCTCCCTATTCCCCCCTCAAAATAGTGTTTTTTCCCCCCTCAAAGCTGAAATTTCCCC